AAAAAAAAAAAAAAAAAAAGATCATACCAAAAGACAAAAAGAATCTATCTTATGCACAGAAGATATGCATGAGGAAAAACAACAACAACAACAACAACAACAACAACAACAACAACAACAACAACAACAACAACGATGTATGATGATATACATGAGAGATTCTCGTTGTATTCGAGAGGGTAGTAGGAGGGTAGTAGGGTTGTCATACTCTTCAGCTGAAGTTTCCCGGTCTCTTCCTGGGAATCGGGGACTTTGACATGCCGCTTGGGACTGTTCCATATATGAAACTTGGAACTGCTTTGTATGGAACTGCTTGGAACTGCTTTGTATGAAACTTGGAACTGCGTGGAACTGCTTGGAACTGCTTTGTATGGAACTTGGAACTGTTTGGAACTGCTTTGACATGGAGCTTGGGACTGTGCCCTTATATGGGGTGTCATTACACTCAGACAGGTTGAAGATCTGTTGACCAGTTTAGCACACATTGTTGAAAAGACGGGCTAAACCCACTGTGTTCCAATCCGGTCGAGACCTACAGAGGCGCCAACTATGCAGCGGGTTTTCCAGCTGTTGTGTTCAAATCGGGTGGTTAACCCGCCGCATAGTTGGTGCCTCTGGTGGTCTACCGGACAGAAAAGGCTTGCCTCGGCAGGCAAAAAGACGTAATTTTGCGCTAGTTCTGGTTCCCTTTTTTTTTTTTTGTGTGTGTGTAGGGCTGGCGTGGGGTTGTAGATTTGATGGGTGATGTGGGCTCGTCGATAGAGAGGGCAACCGCCGCAGGTTGCGGACAGCAAGGTTCACTACGAAGATCCGGCGGCGATCGGAGAGCAGCCTTCAAGACGCGCCTTCGGCCCTCACGTTCGTCGCCTTGCCGGAGTCATTTTAAGAGGATTCACTATGTTCGCTATGCGGACCACTTCCTGATTGAATTCATCGGAGCTAGAACCACGCGGCCGTTGACGCGAACGTTGACGCGGTGGTGGATCAGAGTGGGTAGGGTTTAGGGCTTACGCAGAATTATGGTGTCGCAGGGTCTTTCAACAAGCGTTGTGCAGTATGGCTCGGGCTTCAAGTTAGATTAGATCCGACAGCCCCTGGGCTGAGCGGCCAGTCTGCAGTGTTCACAATAAGCAAAGCTTTTTTTTTTTTTTTTTTTTTTTATAAGCAAAGCTGGGTAATGCTCCCAGTAATTATGCTGGACCCAATTTCCAGCAGCCAAGGCCGGCCTTCTCCGGTTGTTTTTTCTTTAGGTGAGCGGCAGAAATCCCGATCGCACATAATTGTGGTCGAAGAGTATCTGATGTTGGTAGATCTGGAAGGCTGTGGAGGCGATGTTGACAAATGGGAGGTGGGCTGGTGGAATGAAAAGTGTATGTTTGGGGGGAAGCCCCCTGATGAAGATGCTCTGCCAACGGATGAAACGTGTTGAGGAGATGCAAGCAGAAAGAGAAGTTTCCAAGCTTCTTTGGGTTGCATTATGAGATAGAGACGACCCAAACGAGAGACGTTTCACCGTATGGTACGTATCATTTCCAAAGCGGCGTGCTACTGGAAATTGTGCATTGTGTTGAACGAGTAGTATTGGGCATGCATATAGGTGTCATGAAACAATCTGAAAAACCTATGACTACATATTTTCAGCCTCCTGATGAGTCGGTGAGACGCCGACGAAACAGTTTGTTACAGCCCCTCGTTTGTTATCCTCTTCTCCCTTTTGTCCCTCTCTGCCTACGGTTTACCGTTGGCAGTTCTGTTTGATGATATATATAAAATATATATGCCCCGGGGGGATTCATAGGCACACTTGCAGCCAGCCCGACGGATCACCCAACTCTGAACTCACCTCTTCACCAACTCCTACTCATTAGCCGATCCTCTTGACCTCGCTAACGTTCCCCAATTTGATTAGAGAACGATTTCATCGCGCTTGCAGAATTTATAGCTACTAGCATCAGTGCGAGATAGTCGGGATAGTCGGGATTATGCTGGGGCAAGGGAAGAGAAGAAGGAAGTGTCTGCAGTCGGCATGCCTGGGCCACGGTGTGGGGTAGCCACTCTCCACACATCAATCCAGTCATCCACTGCTGTGGCCAATGAGACGAAAGGAGGAGGGGTTGCGTGCAAAGCAAAAACGAGAAGATTACAATTACACCCGTACTCATAGTGGAAGGAACAAGAAGAGATTACAGTTGAGATTAGAATTAAGGCGCGACGAAAGTAGACTGCAGGACAGAGCGCAACAGAACCAGCACGAGTAATGAGTGCCGCGCAGTTACAAAAAGAAGAAATCTACGACAACCCAAAATCCTAATCTAATTGAAGTCCTAATTCTGATTGCTCCTGTATTCCCCCCCCCCCCAGCATTCAAAAATTCAAAAAAGATTTTCCCGCACAATGACCGCGCCGAAGCTCCCTTTCCCATTTCCAAAAGAAAAGGAAAGAAGTCGGTCAACTGTTATTTCTGCGCTCGCTAAGGCGAATCCTAACCACCAACCGCCATGGAACCC